CAGTACCAGGTTGCCAAAACCTCTTGGCCTGTTAAGCAAAACACTCATACATTTTGGAATTTATTTTGGTTTCTTGTTCTAATTTAGCTAACAAATGGTTATATAACCTCAAAAGTCATTTAATTATTTAAATATTTCTTCTACCACTATAGGTAGTCACTCTAGGTATCTACTTAGTTATCTATTGTAGGTTGGCCAAACTACTTTTCATCTCTATAATAAAGGAAATATATCTTTAAATTGATCTTGTCTGCTGGGTATGGTGGTACACAGCTGTAATCCCAGCACTCAGGAGGCTGAGGCAGGAGGACTGCTGCAAGTTTGAGGCCAGCCTGGGCTACACAGTGAGTTTAAACCAGCCTGAACTACACAGTGAGACACTGTTTTAAAAAAAGAAAAAAAAATCTTTTCTACTTTAAGTACCTCAAATGAGTACTTTTAATATCTCAAATTCTTTTCAGAACAAAGCAATAAATAAAATATTAACACAGGGGTCAGACATGTAGCCCAGTGGCAGAGCACTTGCCTAGCATACGCAAAACCTTAGGTTCAATCCCCAGCACCATAAAATAAAATATTAATAGGTACAAAATTTAAAAGCTCTTATCCTTGTTCATTTTATATATACATTTTATGACTATGAACTTGAACTAAAGTCAATGCCTGAATTATTTGTCCTTAAAGTAAATCTTATTTTCTCTGACAAAAACACCTACAAATTAAACAGCTTAAAAAATGGAGAGAAGGGGGCTGGGGATTTAGCTCAGCGGCACAGTGCCTGCCTGGCAAATGCAAGGTCGTGAGTTCGATTCCCGGTACTGGGGAAAAAAAAAAAAAAGGAGAGAAAGGAAACACAAGTAGGTCTCAGTTACAGCTGAATTTCCAAGCAAGTTTTCTAAGTCACTATTTTAAAATCCTTTCAGGGTAATCTAACTTTATAGTAAATACATGCTATCACTTCCCTTCCAAATTTTCTTCTGTTGAAGAGATGAAGTCAGATACCGTCGTTTCTATTCACTGCTACAATTATTCTCATTTTATTTTCTTTAGAGAATAACCTTTAACTTCCAAGGCCTGATTCCTTTCAATCCAATAAACAGGCACTCAGTGCCAATGAGGCATCCACTGCGCACTGCGTGGTGGGAAGAGAATGCAACTAGGAATAAAGCATTCTTAGATATAGAGACCGAAATAATGGTAGCAAATGAGGAAGAGGCCTGGGGGCACTTTGAGGAACTTGGCAGGAAGCCCTGCTTCACTTGAAAAGCTCTTACTTTGTTCGCTCGTTAATTTAAATATCTTTTGTTCAATATGTGACTTTACTTCAAAATTCTATGTAAGAGGGCTTTTGTCTTCCGCTGTTGTTATTATTACTCCTTTCATCACAACCTCCTCAGTTTGGTTCAGAAATGCAGAGCTGGTTTCTAGCCAGAAAAAAAAAAGAATGAAAGAAAGCTCTGCTGATTCAAGCCACTACCTAGACTAAAGAATATGTTAATGGAGATGTCTCCCTTAGTGCGACCAAATGTGAGAAAACAGTAAGACCAGAAGCAGCAGGGAGGACTTGTGTAACCAATTTGTCTAAGCGGTAACTATAGGACATCGCATTAAAAGGTGGTGGGCAGATGTTTGTTGTGTTTGTGGGTTTGTTTGTTTGAATGTGCGAATGTGTGCTTTTGCTTTGTTTTGCAGTATTGGGAACTGAACTACCTGGGTGATATGTTATGAATGTATTTGGGTTACAGGTTCTTCATGTATGTACATGACAGTATTCATGTGATGAAAATGTAAGCTCTTATAATGTGATGATCGACAAGGCCAATTAGTTGTGACCAAGTAATTGTAACCAGATATATATTTGTCACCCAAATTGCCTGTACTTACTTTGGCTCAAGTCAATGTTTTATGCCACAAGTGTTAGCTGATCAATCTGTTATACCGGTGAGTTATTCTGATACGCAGCTGTGTTCAGTACTAGGCCCAGACCATGCAGGATAATAATGCATGTGACCATTACCACTTTGCTGCAGTGGTGATGGATTGGGGATCATGCACTTTTCTATGGATATTCTTTGTACATCACTCGGAGATGGCCAGCCAGCGCCCAGGGGTTAAGAGGCCACGCATCCAGGAAAAACTAGCACTTCCTAATCCAATCTGATCTCCAACTGAGTCATTCGCTGAATCAAGCACTGACTGAGTACTTCCTCACAGCAGGCACTGTGTGTGTCACTGTGGGGTGATGTTCCAAAAATGAGTGAGACTGTCCTTGCCTTTCACACACAAGACAAGTGTTTACACAAGACATTGTTACACGTACTCTAGTGGGATCCGAGGTAAAAAGGAGGGCTTTTCAGTTAGTTCAGAGAACAGGGTATTGGGAAGAGGAGGTGCGCAGAGGATGCCAATCAGGAGAAGCAGAAAGGGACCACATCATGGAGGGGCTTTAGACAACCCAACAGGCTCAAGCTTCCTTTATCCTTTAAGTAAGGGGAGGTTATTTAATGGTTCTGAGCAAAAGACTTTGTTAGATTTGCATTTCAAACAGAAAAATTCAGCAAGAACAGACCAGAGTGACCATAACTAAGGAGACAAATTCCTCTGTGAGTCCGTTCACTCACTAATAAATAATTTATACAACATACAGTGTACCAAGTATTACAGACAGGGATGAAGAAAACACACAGTCCTGATCTCATGGAGCTTACTGTCTTAGCGAATGGTAAGAAGGGGAACTGAAGCAGCAGCAGTGCAGACAGAAGTAAGAGAGGTGATGAACAGATGCCTCTGCAGACAGTCCACACGGTGGGTGGGAGAGAAATCTAGGCTGACTCCCGGTCTCCTGGGCCAACAGACCGAGTAGGTAAGTAAAACAGGAAGCAAGCCAGATCTGGGAAGGGGACTTAGCTCAAGGATACTCAGACGCACACGTCCAATACAAAAAGGAATGAACAGTTTCTCAGTTCACTTACCTTGGCCAAAGAAATGGATTTGAAATTAACAATCGGGTGGTTCTAGACACCATGGACAACAAATGAAATCAAGGCTCAACAATAACAACGGATAAGCAGCTGGCTAAAGAACAAGCTAGGCAAAAAGAGCTGAGGAAAAATTGTCTGAGATGGGACGAGGAAAAGACAACAACTATGTCATAAAAGACGAAGGAACAGGATTTCAAGATGCTGGGCATGGAGGTGCAAGCCTACAATCCCAGCACTCAGGAGGCTGAGTCAGGAGGATCACTGAGTTCAAGATCAGCCTGAGCTACACAGTGAGTTCAAGGCTGGCCAAAACTGCATAGGCACACCCTGTCTCAAAAAAAAAGAAAATTATTTTTAAGAACAGTCAATAGAAACAACTACCAGAGAAAGGTTATTGGTTTCTAGATACACCACAATTTTTAAACATTTTCTCCACCCCAAAAGGAAACCCAGTAATGATTAGCAGTCACTATCCCCTCATTCAGCCTCAGACTTTCCCCGTCCCCACCCAGCCTTAGGCAACTATTAATCTATTTCTGTCTCTGCAGACTTGCCTGTTCTGGACATCTGACATAAACAGACTCACACAGTATGTGCCCTTTAGTGACCAGCTTCTTTCCGATGGTAGCAGGCACTAATACTTCATTTTTTATAGCCAAATAATAATTCAGTGTATGACTGCAGCTATCCCTCACTATATTGCGGTTCACTTACCGCAGCTTCACCGTATCGCAGGTTTCTTAAAAAAAAATATCTAATTCTGGACTGCAGAGTTTTCATTATAATAAGGGATTCTGTGGTATATACATACTGATATAATATTTGATTTTAATTACTTTTGCCTAAAAAATTTTAAACAATATAAAAAATATTAGAGATGTTAATTCAAATATATTAAAAGAACATTAAATCAAAATAAAATACACAATAAACCAAAATAAAATTCATCAGCGGATGAATACCGTACTATACACAAAGGAAATGTAGTACACCACTACCGCTGGAGCAAGTTTGCCAACGTGAGGTTGTACGTGGCACACTATTGGCTGATGGAATGGAAGGCGACCAACCACAGCACTGTGTTCTGTATCCTGAGCGGACTGGCTCAGTGACCGTAGCATGTTTGTTCTCCTGCACTGTGCCCATACCTTCAGCATCCTCCTTGTCCACTTCACATGAGTACCCATACAGAATGTTACATGTTGTTAAAATTACATGGATTTAAGAGAGTAGAAAGTGTTTAAGAGCATATGAAGTGTTTATAAGACTATGGGAAAGGTTAATAAGAGAGTGGAAAAGGTTTATAGGAGGGTGGGAAGGGTTTATAAAACCTTAAAATATATACGAATAATAAAATATATCCCTGCTACCTTGTGGATTTTCACCTATCATGGGGATCTCTGGAACGTAACTCCCACAACAGGTGAGGGATCACCTGTATACCACATTTAGTCTACCCATTTATTAGCTGATGGACATATGAAATATTTTCACTTTTTGGCTATCATGAATAATGCTGCTATAAACACTCACGCACAAGGGGTTTTCTTTGTTTGTTTAGGGTTTTTTTGGTACTGGGAATAGAACTCAGCAGCGTGCACTTGCCAGGCAGGCGCTGTGCCGCTGAGCTGTATCTGCTGCCCATGCACAAGGTCTTCTACAGACATACAAGGGATAATTAAAATATACAGTGAAAGTTAATTTTTTTTAAAACTTCAGTACAGTACAAGACACAATGCCATCAACCTCCCTCAAAAGTCTCCCCCTCAGCTGAAACACACTTATCCCACTGTTCTTGCCACTTCTGAAGCAGTTCTGAAAGTCCTCTTTTCTGAGTGTCTTTACATGCAGTGACCAAAAATAGAATGCATGCAGTTGCAGTGCCATCCAACAGAAATGCAGGTTCATAAAAGCATTACGGCGTGTCCTCATCCACTTTATTCACTAGCTGTGGCACTGCGCAATTTCTGGCTCTTCCTCAAAGTGAAAATGATAGTGAATGCTAAACGTTTTGAACAGATGCAGGACACCAGAGCAGGCACATCAGGCACAACTAAAGACATGAGAGAAGACTTCCAGAACTGCCTCGGCAGTGGTAAGAACAATGGGTAAGTATGCTTGAAGCAAGGGGGAGAGTTCTGAGGGGGATTAACATCAGTGTGTCTTTTACTATAATACATTTTTCAAAGTTTTAAACATTCACTGTACTTCTCAACCACACCTCATTTCTCTTGGTTGTATAACCTAGGTGTTGAACTCCTGGGTCATACGGTTTGGGTGTGGTCTGTCCGCCAAAGTTTCACGTGTTGGAAGCTTACGTCCCACTGTGGCAGTAAATTCTTTTGTCTTTCTGGTCCTAGAGAGTGAACTCAGTGCCCAACGCAGCTAAGGAGGTGACATGGCTGACCTACACCCCAGCCTCGATGGCACAGAATCCTTAAGAAGTAGGGCCTAGCGGAAGGTCCATGGGCCACTAGGGCACTGCACTCAAAAAAGAATACTGGTCTCCACGAGTGAGTTTGCTGCAGAATGAGTTGTTTCCGAAGCCTGACCCTGACCTGACCCTCTCCTGCTTCCTGTACTGAAACGTGGCCTTTTGCTCCCTCACACACCAGCACTGTTGGGCCATGCAGTCCTCAGCGCAGGCTGAACCAAGAGGGCTGCCCAACCTTGGACTTCCAGCCTCCGAAGCTGCAAACTAAATAAACCTGTTTTTTCAATTTTATACTTTTTGTGGAATAATATTTTAAGATATTTCATGAAAGCAACAAAAAGCTAATCCGTATGGACATAGCAGCTCTGTTTAACTGTCTAAGGAAATGCCAATATTTTCGAAAGACACCCCCTGTGTTCAACATTCCCACCAGCAGCACATATGAATTCCAATTTCTCTACATCCTCAGCAACATTCATTATCTGTCTTTTTACTTACAGCCATTTTAGTGAAGAAGTAGAATCTCACTGTGGTCTTGATTTGGATATCCCTGATGGCCAATGATCCTGTTACGGTTTGTGTCTAGATATCCCCAAAGCCTCATGCAGTCATGAGCGGGGCATTTCACAGGTGGCTAGATCTGGAGTGTGTGATGCTGGGATCAAGAGTGTGTGATTTCTGAATTAGTCTGCTAGTTGGTATGGCACAGTTCCGGTTAAGATTAAGGGTGCCCCACCCTGAGTGTGAGTGCTATCCACTTGTCATTCACATGCTGCTTGCTGCCTTCTGCCTGCCCTGATTTGCCATGAACCATTTCTCCTCTGTGACAGTCCTCTGCCAAGCCACCCTGCCTTGGAACCAGCCGACTATGAACTGAAACCTCTACAAACTGTAAACCAAATAAACCTTTCTTCCTTTGAGTGTTGAGTATTTTGTCTCAGCAATAGAAAAGTAAGGGGGCTGGGGATTTAGCTCAGCGGCAAAAGCACCTGCCTGGCAAGCGCCAGGTCATGAGTTCGGTTCCCGGTACCGGACAAAAACCAAAAAAAAAAAAAAAAAGGAAAAGTAAGAAAGACAGGTACTAAATATTTTTGCAAATATTTTTTTCAGGCTATGGAGTGTCTTTTCATTTTCTTGATGGCGTTCTTTATAGTTAAAAGTAGGTTTGGCTTTTTTTAGTTTTAATGAGGTCCAATTTATTTATCCTTTTCTTGTATCATTTCTGCATTTTTTTTTTCCTGGTATAGTATTTTAGAAGGTTGTCCCTAACTCTAGGTCATGAAGACATCTATATTTTATCCTAAGAAGCTTACAGTTTTAGCTCCTACATTTAGGTCTCTGACCCATTTGGGAGTTAATATTTGTGTACAGTGTAAGGAAAGGGTAATTATTTTGTTTAAATAGGAGGAAACCAAGGACAGATAAACAGAACAAAAGAAGGCAAGGAAGCAGAGATGGAACTGTAAAGCAAGGACCCTAAAGAGTAAGATCAGGATGTGGTGAGCGGGCAGAAACCAAGCTTCAGCAGGAGGAGCACCTCTCCTTCAGAGACAGAGGATGGGGCACAAGAGCAGAAATGGGAAGGTGGATGGGCTACACCTTTCTAGGAATTTACAAGGCATGTTAGCATATTTAAGAAAGGTAACCTTCAGTCAGGAAATCTATTTAATTTTGTTTAATCCTCCATTTTCCAAATCTACTTGCCCAAGAATGATTTCTTTCTTACTAATACCTATCAACCTGCTGGGCATGGTACACAGGCCTATAATCCCAGCACTTGGGAGGCTGAGGCAGGAGGATCACCTTGAGTTTGAGGCCAGTCTGGGCTACACAGTGAGTTCAAGGCCAGCCTGAACTACACAGTGAAACCCTGTCTCAAAAAAATAAAACAACAAAAAACTCTATTCATTTACAATGGAGTTAGGATTTGCAGGACCTATCAGGAAACTGATCTAGGCCAAGAGCTGAAGATGTGGTCTTTAACCAGTTTTGGAGGAAAGGGTGGTTTTTGGTTGGTCCAGACTATTTATAAAAATCAAGAAATTTCGCAGAGATTTAACTTCTGACATCTCTTAAAATATTAGGAGAGGACTGCACACTGGATCTGCATTCTAGGAAAGAAAAATAAATGCTGTAACCCACATATTCCTTTCGGAGAATATAACACCTGCACCACTTCCTGTAACCCTAACATCTGGCCTGTTTCACTCCCTGTATTTGGGTTTGTCATTCCCATACTAAACCACTTTCTTAGTATCTACACAGAGTGAAAAGTTCAGACTCCTTATCTATAGCCTCTCTAAAACATCTTATTTCATAAAAGCGCTCTTCTTATGACACTGAGAATTATTTATGTAAGGAGTAACAAAATAGGCAAATATAACACATAGGCCTGTTTTGCTGGACCTCCACAGTAATTTTTATGATCGAAAGAGTCACGTTAAAAGAAATCAATTTTTCCAGACTTTTTTAAAAAGCAGGAAGGTCTAGCGGCTCATGCCTGTAATCCCAGTACTTTGGGAGGCTGAGGCAGAACAGCAAGTTTGAATACAGCCTGGGCAGCTTAACCAGACCCTGTCTCAAAATATAAAATAAAAAAAGGGCTGGGGATATAGCTGAGCCTGAAGGCTCTGGTTCAATCTGTTCATACAGAACAAATAAACAAACAAATGAGATATGTTAATATCAGGCCCTGTTTCCACAATAAGCTGGAGATGGTAGTAACTTCTTCAGTGCAAGCCTCCCCAGTGTTCTCTAACTGGCCTGATTCATTCACTGCCTATTTGGCCCCTGCAGAGTTTGTGCCACTTGATTTAACAAACATGACTCAATTTTAATCGGCACAGAGGATTAGGCAAGTTCCCCAAGAGCTAAGTGTTAACTGAAATTTCACTTAAGCTTGTTATTGCACAAATGATGAAAAAAATGAGTAAAAGAAAACACATCATGGGAAATAGAATTGCAGTTGATTTATTTTGTTTTGGTTTGGTTTTTTTGAGACAGTCTCACTACACAATTCAGGCTGGCCTTGAATTCATGGTGATCCTCCTGCTTCAGCCTCCCAAGTGCTGGGATTGTAAGTGTGTGCCACCACACCCAGCTTGCAGATGATTTTTTATTTTCCTCTTAATCCTTTTCTGTACTTTCCAGATTTAAAAAAAAAAAAAACTATACCTTGCCTTCATCATCAGAAAAAGTCTAAAATGTATCAATAATACCCTCTGTAAATAACAACTTATAAAATAATGAGAAATCACCACAGCCTGAAGGTTCAAGTTTTGACCAATTCCAAAACAAATTGGTTTGGGCTCGCTTCAGCAGCAAAGATATTAAAACTGAAACAAAACATTAATTTTCATAGGCATCAATCGGAACACAATCACCTCAGTTAAACCATGTCAGTGGCCAAGTAATATCAAGCAAACTCATCCAGGGCCACAGTTAGCGCAGTGCTAACGTTAGGCGGCTCTGGCAGCAGCTGTTTATTCTAGCTCAACACTGAGGCTGAGCGTATCCATTAAGGCTGGAAGAAGGTCAGCAGAGCAGCCTCACTCCCAGGCCCCTCCCAGGAAGATGCCGTAAGCAGACTTCTGATGTGCAGACACTTCATTCTCTCCCTCAACTCAACATTCTTTCACAGACTTTACAACCACCTATAGTTATCTTCTGGAGAGCCGTGGAATTAACAGAAGAACAGATCGTCAGCACAGAGAACAGTTCCCCCCCACCCACTTTCTCCCCAGCAGTCAAAAAGACACAAGATACATTCCTTTCATTGCACAGACTGAGACCTACAGAGTGGAAAAGAATTCAGCAGTCTAATTCAAAGTCTTCATTTTAGAAATAAGGCCCAGAGAGGTTACTTCTCTGAGAAGTTATACATCCTGAACTTGGATCCAAACCACTTGACTGCATTTCCTGTGTTCTGAGGCATACTTTCTAACTTCAAAGCAAGACATGTGTTAAGTGACAGATATCCCCACTCATCTCAGGCCCTATTAAAGGGTTTCCACGTTGGCTTCAACCACAGACACGCAAACACCACAAAACATACAGGTCTCCACCTCCTGCACTTCAGCACTGCTACAGCGACAGGACACCAACCAGTAAACGCAGGAAGGTAATGGTTTCCATTCCCAATTTCCTTCGGTTTTTCCATTTTTCTTAAGTATTAAAAAGATCAAGTGACAACTTAGTGTTATTCCCATTATTCTCATTTAATTAGAGTTAAGAATTACAGTTATTCTCTTTTAATTACAGTTAAGAAGCTACTGCATATTCATAAATACTGATGGGGAGGAAAAGATCAGACCGGATGTGTTGAAGGTGATTTTTACTAAATGCTCCAAGTAGACAGCAAAGTCCTTATGGAATCTGTAACTTCAGGTCTGAGAATGTTTGTTCCCTCACAGTCATGACACATGGTGACTGGCATGTGGTGAGTGCTCAGGAAATCAGTGCCCACTGAGATAAAAAAAATAAGTCAGTAAAACATGTTAACATTTAATTCTACCAAGTTACCTGCCCACACACATTCTTTAACACCTCCATTAGTTTTAATTCCTGCACAGTTAAGAGAGAAAAGCATTATTTTATTTTAATTCTTTCTTTAATACACCCCTAACTCTAATACTCTATGACTGTATTAAGATGACCAGCTAGATTCCTATGTTTTTCTTTTTGTTTTTGTTTTTTTGAGACAGAGTCTCAGTACGTAGCTCAGGGTCTCATCATGTACCCCAGGCTGGCCTCAAACTCACAGTGATCCTCCTGACAGCCTCCCAAGTGGAATCACAGGCATGCACTACCACCCCCAGCTTCACCTTTAAAATATTAAAAAGGCATGAAAATATTGCCAAGGGAAAATCACATCAACACTACCACCTGTCACATCTCATGCATGATTATAAGACTACGTGTGAATATGCTATAAATACCTAATGACTTTAAGTATCTCAGAAGACCCATCGGAATGGAGCAATATCCAACTTCTTCCTCATTGCCTTCTGACCAAACCTACTTCTCTCAAAGTGTTTTTCCACAGAAATTAAATTTTTTTCCGCCTTAGTAGCCAAAATGGTGAGCACATTTTTTTTTTCTCAACAGTTTTAGCTCACAAATGCACAGACTTTCGGTTCCACTGTAGCTTTTGCGGAGAAGCCTGGACAGGTAATTGCTACTTATAACAATCTCTCTATGGAAAAGTAATTCCCAACAACCAACTTGTAAATGAGGGGTTGAGGTGCAACTTATTTTCATATTAGGAAAACT